CTTCAAGCAGGGTGAGCCCCATAGGTTCTGCATACTGACCTTCAACCTTGGTTCAGAGATGCCACATTATATAACATAACTATACATTACTCTGATGTATATCGTGGCCAGCGAGGGACTGATGTGGGGAGGGGGTGGTTTGACTTAGGGGAGGAATTATGTTGGTGGGTTGGCACAGAGAACATAAAATACATCTAATGTATGGTCGCTCGTTGGCAGTAGTCCTGCGACATGACTGCGGTTTTACTAAAAGCCTAGGCAAGCCTAGTCAGATAAACTAAACCAAGTGATTGGAACCCAAGCTTTGAAATACAATAAGGCTATATTTGTCATACGTGATGGTTGAGAATGTAAACTGCTGTGTCATTGTGTGGGGTTTACTATCGCAAGTGTTTATCCGGCATTGGTTTCCTAGCTGTGTCAAGTCGAGACCACTATGAACGTATCCACGTGAAACACGTCAGTCTGTGTCCGCTCAGCGGTGGACGGTATCTTACATAGGTTGGAACAGACACTACGTATGATATATTGTAGAATTAAATACTTAAATATGAAATAGCATTATATACTGTTCGATCTCACATTATAAACTGTATAATCTTACATTATGTACTGTATAATCTTACATTATATGCTGTATAGGATCTCACATTATATACTGTATAATTTTATTTTATATACTGTATATGATCTCATATAAACTGTATAATCTTACATTATGTAATGTATAATCTTACATTATGTAATGTATAATCTTACATTATGTAATGTATAATCTTACATTATATCTTACATTGTGATCTCACATTATATACATTGTACTGTTTAATCTTACATTATATACTGTAGTATATCATATCATTACATTAAGGCATATTTACCCTACATATTGAATACAGTTGTGACGTATGTCCTTAAAATGCATACTGTAGCATCTCATATTATTTTTAATTTCACATGACTGCGAAACTGACGTTCATACGTTTTTCACGAGATTGTTTTCTTGAAATGACGTAAACACTGATGGACTACTTCCATATTCCTTGGGAAATCTCCAGGAATTCCCTTGCGTTGTTTGGATCATTTTGACCTATTTAATCTTGAACTTAGCGATTTAACACACACTGGGATATGTCAGAGAGTTTAGCCTCACGCCCGTTCAAGAATATCCTCGCTACGATCCACCCTAGAGAACAAAACTAAGAAATGCAAATCCAAACTATGGACTCGATCCGTGTCTAGACCGACAAGTGGCACATTGTATATTGTATCTGATCTCACGTTATATACTGTATGACCTTACATTGTATATTGTATCTGATCTCACATTATATACTGTATGACCTTACATTGTATATTGTATCTGATATCACGTTATATACTGTATGACCTTACATTGTATATTGTATCTGCTCACACATTATACACTTCATTACCCTACATTGTTTATTGTATCGGATCTCACATTATATACTGTATGACCTTATATTGTATATTGTATCTGATCTCACATTATATACTGTATGACCTTACATTGTATATTGTATCTGATCTCACATTATATACTGTATGACCTTACATTGTATATTGTATCTGATCTCACATTATATACTGAATGACCTTACATTGTATATTGTATCTGATATCACGTTATATATTGTATGACCTTACATTGTATATTGTATCTGCTCACACATTATACACTGCATTACCCTACATTGTTTATTGTATCGGATCTCACATTATATACTGTATGACCTTCCATTGTATATTGTATCGGATCTCACATTATATACGGCATGATCTTACATTGTATATTGTGTCTGATATCACATTATATACTGTATGGCCTTCGTATCTGATCTCACGTTATAGTGTATGACCTTACATTGTATGTTGTATCTGATCTCACATTATATACCATATGGCCCTATATTGTATCTGATCTCACATTATATACTGTATGGCCTTTGTATCTGATCTCACAAATTTATACCATATGGCCCTACATTGTTTATTGTATCCGATCTCCCATTATATAGTGTATGGCCTTACATTGTATATTGTATCTGATTTCACATTATATACTACATGACCTTGCATTGTGTATTGTGTCTGATATCACGCTATATACCATACGGCCCTATATTGTATCTGATCTCACATTATATACTGTATGGCCTTTGTATCTGATCTCACGTTATATACTGTATGGCCCTTGTATCTGATCTCACATTATGTACTGTATGATCTTACATTGTATATTGTATCTGATATCACGTTATATACTGTATGACCTTACATTGTATATTGTATCTGATCTCACATTATATACTGTATGACCTTACATTGTATATTGTATCTGATATCACATTATATACTGTATGACCTTACATTGTATATTGTATCTGATCTCACATTATATACTGTATGAGCTTATATTGTATATTGTATCTGATCTCACATTATATACTGTATGACCTTACATTGTATATTGTATCCGATCTCCCATTATATAGTGTATGACCTTACATTGTATATTGTATCTGCTCACACATTATATACTGTATGTCTCACATTGTATGCTATATGACCTGACATATATATATCGGAGGGGGCACGGGTGGCCCAGTCGTCTAAGGCGCCGCGATTCGCTATGCAGAGTTGCGTCCCTTGTGTGCACCAGAAACCTATGATTGTGGGTTTGAATCCCGGTTCGCCCCGATTATGTCTAGGTTTCTCAGCACCATACCCGTGCTCGTGGGTTTCACCGAAGTGGTAAACGTCTTAGACCTGTATCACTTCGTGCTTTCCTCCCACATTATACTTTCTGACCCTACATTGTATATTGTATCGGATCTCACATTATATGCTGTATGTGTCACATTGTATGCTGTATGACCTTACATTGTTTTGTGTTTCTAATCACACATTACATACTTCATATGGTATAACACTGCATACATGTTTCACCCAGTATGCCTGAATCAGTGACAATATCCGTGTCCAGTTACCACCGATGTCACAATGTCACACAGTACTTAAGTCGGCTCAGGGGATGAAGGTGGCGTAGGGTGGAACGAGGCGGTGCGAGGGAAACAAGGGTCTGCAGTAAACTGAGAGGCAAAAGAAAGTATACCGAGTTTGTTTTTTATGTAACTGAAAATTGAAACAATTGTTGTTAAATTTGATCATGTCTATTTAACCATCATTTATTCCTGCAACAGTTGTAAAAAGTAATCTGTTGCTAGGTAATTTTGTTTAAAAAAATAAATTGGTTCAATAAAGACTAGCAAGAAATGAATTTGCAACCACATGCCCCCTACCATGTTAAAAATGCTGTAACTTTGTGCCGAAATAAATACAAATTTATTGATTTTCAAAGTTATATGTTTTAATTTTCAATTTTTTTAAATCATATAATATTTAGAAAATATAACCAGTATTTGTTGTGTGCTGACTAAGCGCCCGTACAGTTGTTTTTTATTAAATATAATATCTCCAAGGGACCATTTAAAATGGGGGTTGGTGTGGGGTGGGGGGACTGGGATTTTGTATCGAGATGCGATATTAATCAGCTACAGCTACAAAACCAGATACTGTTTTATTTAAAACTATGAGCCTGAATGTTTTAAAAAAAGAAAAACACATTGCAACAATGTAAATTTTATGGCAGGCAATTTCTTTGTTTTTCAACAGTATGAAGAACACAATTATTTGTTTTCGGTGACAATATATTTTTTTAGATGAAATCCCATCCCAAATGATCATTTTCTTCTTAATAATGCTTTATCCCCGTGTGAATTCAGGGTAAGAATAGTTAGTTACCCTTTAACCCACGCATGCATGGAAGAGCAGACAACAGTGAAACGAGTGTTCAGGTTCGGGGTCTTGGATGACTGCGTGTCAACGTGCCCCGAATGTGTGGGTCGCTGTTCAAATTACATTCATTCACTCTTGCTTAGTAAGGTTTCACAAGACAAAATAAATTTAACACCCCCACCCCCCCCCCCCCCCCCCACCCCCACCCCCCACCCCCCACCCCCACCCCACCCCCCACCCCCCTCCCCAGCATCCCATACAGCTGATTAAAGCCAACGTTGCTGTGATACTCCCAACCTGTTCCACTGGAGTATTGGATACGGTCCCATGGAGCATCCACCACTGAATATACACCCGTGACAACGCAAACCAATAGGTTTCATTTTTATTTAATAAATGTATACCGGCGTCCCATCTGTTGCAGCCACACACGTCTCTTTATTGTGCCTGCCATTCTATATAATACACGACCACCGGTTTTCATGTGAAACAGGTCATGTAAAATAATGAAAGCGCCCGGAATTAAATGAGAATATGCTATGTCAACAGCGACACGTTGATTTTGAAAACACGGGGAGCAAAGGTGAAATTCATTAAGAAAAGTTGACATGAAAGTCGGTTGGAAATGACATAAGTCAACCAGAGATACAAGGTTTAAGAAGCAGGCCATGTTCACCTATTAACATTACAGGTTACAAATAGGCTGATGAATGCCTGCGTGGTGTGAGATGGGTTGTTCTCCTGGAAACCATAGTACGTTTGTTTTAATCAAGTCTTAACTGATATGCACGGTATGCAATTTAATCTTGGAGACTTTTCGTATCACTTGATACGTATCACATTCAGCTATAGATATGAAGATGACAGGCGTTCGTATATGCTTAGTCAGCACATGATTTTAACTGATAACTACAATCTGACTGAAATATATTCTCCTACTCAGGAGTTACATTGTGAAATAGACACGAAAATGTGATATTCGTGTGATGTAATGTACATACATGATGCATCTTGTTGGGGAATAATATAGTTTCAATGGTAATATTCAACAAACGTATCATTGAAAATATATTACAACAACCTGTTACGTTGGTATTTGTGTTTCATAAAAAAATTTATTTATACAACACGGTGGAAGAGATAACGATGCAAATGATAGATGTAACGTTATGACTTACGATCGGATAATCTTGATTTTCTCTATTCTTCCAGGGTTGCGCCTATTTTTCAACAAGCTCCGAAGCAAAAGATGGTCACTTTGACTGCTGTTGCCCTTGGTAACGACAATAACGGTTCCGGGTTCTGTCTTTGATGATATAACCCGGGGTGACTCCGCTTCTTGCACTTCTTGCTCTTCCTCTTCACTCTTCTGTTCTTCCTCCTGCACCCTGTCGTCCGTGATCACCATGTCGACCAACCGACACTCTCAGTCGGCCTTGTACACGCCACTTATGCACTGTCCGGGGCCCGGGCGACAAACGTATAGTGATAGAAGAGAGGGGGTGGGGGGGGAGTCTCAGGCTCAATAACCGCCTTTCCCGGAAGGGTCAGTCTAGGCTTAAATAGTGAATGGTCAGAACACACTGCTATATAAATAGTCAGTCCAACATACAGTTGTATGAACACAGGAGGTAAATATCCAACTCAAGAATCCAATGCAGTTATTCCATACAGCGCGAGGCGTGCGCCAGGGTTGTACTATCTGTCCGCTGTTTATAATAGTAAAGGCGCAGGTTGTTCTCCGGCAGAGCTGAGATCGGGTTGTGGGAGGGTAACAACTAGGACGTACCCCACTCGCTGTCAACCGGTCAACTGTAAAATATCATGTGACTGGTGAGGCTTTAACGACTTCGGTTGTCTCCGAGGATGCAAACTAGTGATTTCATAAGCACTGTTCAGCTGTACCACGCGTATCAACACTGGGTTAGGTAACGCCCCCTTACTGTACACAGACCTACAACCGATTGCCGGACCCACTATCAGTCAGATATGGCGCTTTTTCAGAGGTATTAAACGTTCTTTGTTCTGATACAGCACTTTCCGTCTCGTACGTTACCCTTCAACAAAGGCAACATATAAACTTCATTCACCGAAATATCAAAATCTCTCTGACCGCTGTAAGAGTTGAATTTTTAACATTTACACATATAAATCAAGTACATGCTGACTGAGGGGTAACCGTGATTCGTCTGAACTATTATTACCCTGTGTGTATTTTGAACAATAACGTCCATAGTGTACCGGAAGGTAATATTTGTTAGTTAAACACAAAAGTTTCCATTCACATGAGCTTAAATGTAACTTATATATGTCCGCAACATCTGTTTGCGCTGTGACCAGCAAATGTAATTACAGTTCTGTCTGAATTGCTAATATCATTCACAAAACAGCTCAGGTGAAGTTTGCGATCCTTCCCAGGGATATATATTCATAAAGTGTTGTCATAGTAACACAACTGTGTTAATATTAGTATCAGTGGGAAGCTTAATGGCTGACAGCTGTCAAAGTGTGAGAACCGTTATTAAAAGTAAAGGTGACACTATAACTACACTGTTCTCGCTCCTCTTAAGGTTACAACACCTCTGTAAAGCTCTTGCTTCAGCATGAATTTGCGTGAGTCTTTGGGTTTCAAACAGTTTTGTTGAACTATACCCATCTAACATATATGTCACTGGCGCCATAAGGCTCCTTGTCACTTCGTAATGTCCAATCTGATTTAAAATATATAAATATATACATATTAAAACACACTTTTCAATGATATAAACAAAGTGTCCTTCATCGATTCTAAAGCAAAAGAAAGTTAATAATGTATGTCAACTGAAATACTTACCATCGTAATTGCCGCTTCTGTGGAATACATATCCATCCTATGCTTACCGTCAAGAATACTGACAGGTAACACGGTCAAGGTCACTATACGGGGAACCTTTAATACCGCAACCCTTACCATGTATGCTCACACGTACTTCTCAACTGGAAGTCTATCGGCGAAATAATGTGGTCACAAAAACGCTATTTAATTGACACAGTTTCCACGTATGGGGGACAGCAGGTTTAAAGATATCGTGTTGAGACGTTGAGAGGCTTTCCTTATATAACACGATAGGTGATGAGATATGGCTACCAGCGGGTCATTTCATGTCTCCACACGTAAGTCACTTTCCTTATCAGACAATTAAACTTCTAGTGATGCGCGTGAAGTCAAGATCGCGTTCATGAATAATATTGACAATGATTTTGATATTATCTGAAATCTGATGGCCAGGACAGATTAATTTAAGTGGTTGATCCACACTCGTGGTACATATTTGAACATGTATCTAAGGGATGATCAAACAGGTCATAGACAATCCTTCTGGATAGAAGTAGGGTTTTATTCTAGGCCAAAGGTAACACAAGATAAATTTGAAATAAATGATTGAACGGAAAAGGGATCAAACAGTCCGGTGAACGAACGAATGAATGAATGAATGAATGAATGAATGAATGAATGAATGAATGAATGAATGAATGAATGAATGAATGAATAGGAAAGGAAGGAAGCATTAACAAACGAGAGAAGAACGATTGCATTCAGGGTATAAAGTTTTATCAAAGTGGTGTGTTTACCTGCATTACTGAGGGGTTTTATATCCCATAAATGACATTTTTAAAAATCTGAAACACTGTTCAAAGTGGAATTTATCTCCAAACTTAGTCTCCAAAAATATATATTAATGAATAAACGAACAAGAGAACATTTACAATACCGATCAGATGCTGAGGGGGTAAGTGAAGATGCGTTTAAACATTTAAACATTGTCTTTAGCAGTATATAGACTCAGGTTCATCGTACATCTATGCGATAGTCGTACAGTCAGATCACGGGTGCGAGCAGTGCTTCATTGTTTGATCTCGGGGTGTTACGTGATGAGAAATAACTGGTACCCCACCCAGGGGTGGCGAGGTGACCCCCAGTCCTTTGTTCCTTGATTAAGGTCTAGAATAACATTACAAATTGCTTGCCCTTGTTAGCTCTCATTCAATAACGTGACGTAATAACGCAACACAACACGTCGAGTGCCATATAAATTAGTCGTTGTGAACCTGCCCGACTTGTTTAACACTGAGGTGACATCTTTGTACTTGCATACAGGTCCCCCTACTTTATATTGAAGTGATTTTTTTGCTGTGGGAAAGTACCTTACACGTCTGCTTCTTTACTAACTTTAATACCAAGTGGGTTTTAGCAAGGGACTTCGAACATTTTGCTTGATCAACAGGATCAAAGAGTATTCGTACTTCACTCGGGTGACCGGAAAACAATTAAGCCATCCTCGGATATATCTGCTTCCGGATATAAACTATGCCAGCGCTTAAAGTAATTGTGCTCATATAAATTCATTGATAACAGATACGTGTTTCTTATGGCATGGATTATATGATTTTAATAGTTGGCCATTCTACCACCGATGCACAAATCCAAGTCGTTTGTATGCGTCACGGTTGATGAAACACAAAGTACGGTCATCTGCTTTGTAGCTGAACGACGTGAGCGGGTGTTCAAATAGCCAGACAATTATCATACCACTCGTAAAGAATGCTGACTGAAGATCAATAGGAACTCTAACTTGTTTTTGTTGTTGTTGAAAACACAAATCAAAACATGATAGATTAGCACATATGGCAGAAAATATATGCCATTATTTGTGCTAGAATCTTTTGGACCACGCTTAGCTATTAGTTCTTGCTATATGCATTAATAAACAAAATGTTATTAGATATGAAGACAAATTAATTGATATTGGTGATGTACACGTAAATATGGAATTATGTTCAGTAAGGGGATGTTGTTACGTGTTTGAAACACATATAATGCTGAGGAAACAATGAAAATACAATCTGTGTGTATCTGTGTTTCAGTGACAACTTGAACCTCAAGAATACGAACGATACGATCGGCTTATGCAAGATGTCGTTTCTATACAATCGAAACGATGACTTCTTTAAATAAAAGATTAAAGCGGGATAATCTAGAGTAAGGAGGACCCGCTGTACGTCTGAAACAGAAACAACATTACAACTTTCAAAATGATACTTGATCTCATGACGTACACTTCCAACAACTCAAGACGTACACCTCCACCAGTCTCATGACGTACACTTCCAACATCTCATGACGTACACCCCCATCAGACTCAAGACATACACCTCCACCAGACTCATGACTCACACTTCCATCAGTCTCAAGACGTACACTTCCATCAGTCTCATGACGTACATCCCCATCAGACTCAAGACGTACACCTCCACCAAACTCATGACGTACACTTCCATCAGACTCATTACGTACACTTCCATCAGTCTCAACACGTACACCTCCATCAGACTCATGACATACACTTCCATCAGTCTCAAGACGCACACCTCCTTCAGTCTCATGACGTACACCCCCATCAGTCACACGACGTACACCTCCTTCAGTCTCATGACGTACACTTCCATCACTCACATGACGTACACTTTAATCCGTCACATGACGTACACTTCCATCAGTCACACGACATACACTTCCATCAGTCTCATGACGTACACTTCCATCAGTCTCAAGACGTACACTTCCATCAGTCACACGACATACACTTCCATCAGTCTCATGACGTACACTTCCATCAGTCTCAAGACGTACACCCCCATCAGTCACACGACGTACACTTCCGTCAGTCTCATGACGTACCCTTCCATCACCCACATGACGTACACTTTCATCCTTCACATGACGTACACTTCCATCAGTCTCATGACGTACACTTCCATCAGTCGCATGACTCACACTTCCATCAGTCTATGACGTACACTTCAATCACTCACATGACGTTCACAACATCACTCAAATGACGTACACCTCCATCAGACTCATGACGTACACGTTCACCAGTCTCAAGACGTACACCTCCATCAGTCTCATGACGTACACCGCCAACGAATTCATGACGAATGAATGAATGGTGCCCGTGTGACGTGTCTCCTAAACTTTATTGATCTCATGTGGAGCTCGTGTCGATTTGTGAAAGTTGTATCTATTTAACAAGTAACGGGGTGGTGGGGTAGCCCAATGGTTAAAGCGGTCACTCGTCACGCCGAGACCCGAGTTCGATACCCCACAACGGCACAATGTGTGAAGCTCTTTTCTGGTGTCCCCCGTCGTGATATTGCTGGAATACTGCTAAAAGCGGTGTAAAACCATACTCACGCACTCACGAGTAACTTAACGTTACTGTACCTGATTATCCCCCCTTCGTTCTAGGTGGAATGACGAGCATAATACATGCAGCAAGTGGTGTGGGTTTTCTGCCGTTTTGAACAGAAATTGTGTGATCACGGAACGTCCCCATAATACTGGGGGAAATCCCGGAGTAAGCCAGATCCTATAACCTTTAATTACTTTC